TGCCCCCGGGGGCTTGGGGAACTCCGCCTGCGACGGGGGCGAGGAGGGGCGAGCCTACGAGTGGATCAAGAAGCACGGCGGCATCGCCAGCACCGAGTCCTACGGCACCTACACGGGGCAGGTGAGGGGGGAAGTGTCCCTGCCGGAGTCCCCCAGGTCCCGGGATGTCCCCCCTGGGGCTTTAAAGGTCGATCAGGATGGGTCAGAGGTGCTACAGGCTCTGGAGGTGGGGATGTCACCTTGTCCCCAAGGCGTCCCATCCAAAGCCCAGCCTCAGGGCTCAGCCAGGTAGTTTTGTCACCACGTGCCTCAGTTTCTCCTCTTGCAAAACAGGGAGGAGGCTCCTCCACCCGTGGCTGGAGCCCTGGGGCGCAGGGTGGAGCAGGGCTGCCTGGGGACAGGGATGTGGCTGCAAGACGCCAACTACAGCCCCCCTCCCCGGGCTTCAGCTGCAGAGCCAGCTCCCCTCGCTGCGTGCGGGCATCGCTGTGTCCCTGCAGCAACAGGGAAAATGTCCCCACACGGTGGCCAGGGGAGGATGGAGGGGACAGGACCGGGATGCTGTCACAGCCCCAGCCCCAGATCGCTCCCTGCGTGGGGGGAGCCAGGGTGGGCAGGGTCCCAGTGAGGGGACCTGGGGGCTCCTGGTGACAGTGTGTCCCCCCCTGGGTGCCACAGAATGGCTTGTGCCACTACAACCAGTCTGAGATGCTGGCCAAGATCACGGTTTACGTCAACGCCACCTCGGGGAACATCACGGCGGTGAAAGCCGCCATCTACAAGCACGGCCCCGTGGCCGTCAGCATCGACGCCTCGCACAAGACCTTCTCCTTCTACTCCAACGGCATCTACTACGAGCCCAAGTGCAGTGAGTCGGGGGGGACGCGGGGGGACCAGGGTGATGCCAGGACACCCGCGTTCCCCTCCCTGCTGTCAACCAGCTTGGGCTGGGGTGGGGATAGAGGTTCCCACAGCCCTCCCCAGCTCTGCCAGCAGCCCCGGAGCAGGGGTGCTC